TATTTTGGGGAAGACAAACATAGCGTTATGATTGAAATTAAAACAATTGTGCATGAGAAAAATTCCACAAAAAAGAAGCATTTTTAATAGCGTTTACACTCTAACAGTGTTTGAAAGACCGTCTTATATAATCACCTAACTACCTTTAAAGAAATTATTTATGATTCAAAGTTCAACGAGGTTAAGTATGATAAAGAATATTTGATATTATTTACATTATGTCATTGTCTTTAACAAATGTAATATTTAGAGATCATTTTATATAATCGAGAGACACTTATTATGGACAACTCTTCGGATGTTTTATTCTCAAAAGAGAAGATGAAACAATTTGCAGATAAAGTGTAGAGTTCTAGACTGTGATTCTGAAGATTCTTTCCAACCTTTTGAAATGCCAAAAGTCAATTATGAGGAAGCTATCTCATTAGAAAGTTTTGAATCACATGAAATTGTTGAAATTGGATTAAAAGTTGGCAAAGTATCACAAAAAAAAAACATAAACAAAAAAATAAAAAAATTCTGTCAAATAAAGACAAAAAAAATATTATGATTGTAAGTAATTTCTCAAAACCAACATTAAGCCTTCATGATAGAAGAGCGAGATGATTGGAGAGAACTCTTCGTTGATTACTTCAAGGTTTGTTTTTGTTAATAATACCAATATCATGGGTCATTTAATCGAGTGTGGCTATCTATAAGACCATTAAAGAAATGATCAAAGTTCATGAAGGAATTTATGGTGCATGCCGGTCAAGCAATAAAATAGCAAGCGAGATCAAAAGAATAAGTTACTTTTGATCGTCAAAGGTGAAATATTCCATCAATCAAATTAATAAATGCCAGTATTTCATATCCTTTGGGGAAATAAATCAACCTCCTAACTCATTAGAACTAAGTGTAGCTTCTTGGTAATTCAAATGATGGGGTATATATAAAATTAGAACAATCAATCCATCATTATCCAATGGGCACCGCTTTAGTTTGGCAAACCGCTTATTTATCCAAGTTGAATTACCACAAAGAAATTGATCAATTCCTTTACTCATAATATTGTATGTAGATTCGATGTACTATGCTGCATTATCCCATATAACAACCAAACTTTTAAAAGAACAAAGATATATAAGTTCCTTGATCAACATAAAATTGATTAACACAGTCAAATCTTAACTCGAAGGGATTCCATTTTGAAAATGCCATCAAATTGAAGTAAAATTATCTTGGGTTAAATTTTGATCAAACATTCAAAAAATGTAAGAAATCGGTAAAATTTAAAGCATCCAAAGAAATTTTATTATCTAAAACTTAAAGCAAAAATTTATTTGCCTTCTACAACTATCCGACGATGGTGACATTTATGATTAACTTCAACTAACAAAGATCGAATGTCACATGAGTATAACATTATATTCATACTCAAAAGAAAATATGCCAATAAAAATGTGCTCATCCGAGTCTTCTATTCGCATGGTTTGGCCAAATAGCTACACAAAAAAATATTGGCTACGACTAAAGCCTTCTGAGTGGGTGGTTTGATGCCAAATGGTACAACTAAATCAAGATCACGATTGTAGTATGTATATTCTCCAATGGCATCATACAACTTGTGTTATGAATCATAATAACATATTTGATCAATACAAAAGCCTTTGTTGGCTAAGATCGACTTGAATTTGTTCCCTTAGACGAGCATTCACCTCAAATCTATATTAACTCTTTAGACGATTTAGCCTATGATTGTTGATAATAAACCTTAAATCAATTTGGATCGACTACCTAACCTGATAAAGTAGACCAGGGACCAAAACAACAACCAAGGACAATGGAACTATGAGATATTGATCAGGCCCATCATCATTCCCTTACCATTCGCTCTAATCTCATGAAGCCAATTTAAATCGATCTAGTACCATGAGTTTGCTACTACTTTGTTAAATCTACATAATTAATACCTAATGACTAGCATTAATCGAAGGTGCCCTCTCAATAGTTTGCAAACTAATCTGTCTTCTAAAAATTTGACGAAAACTTAATAAAAACACATTCAAGCAGGGGTGGGGGCCATATCATCATTATCCATTATATTCATCCTAGTTACAACCAAAAAATTTGTGCGTACTTAGTTGAATGTGATTCAATTTCATTTATATGCAGGTGAACATATTACATTCAGAACTCTTATTGTGCATGCTTTCAATCCTTGTATTTCATCACCAAATTGCATCCACCAATGCTCTAAATGATAAGTTTAAAAAATATGAGAAGAATATCAAGGGAAAGGAAAATTTACATGCATACTACATAATTCTTATGTATTTACATATCAAAAATCTAAATACATATATTTACATACATAACACTTGTGGTGTTATAAACATATAAAAAAACGTGATTCAATTTTAAAAGTAGGTAATAATGATATTTTTGATATAATGTTAAAAATTTGAGTGTTATATGTATAAATATTAAAGATTGAGTGTTAGAATATGTAAATATACAAAATTTTGTGGTAAGTAAATGCCTCTAATTTTGACCTCATATTTAACAAAATTAATCATATGTTTAAATTTAGAAAAAATTCATAGAAACTATACCACGTGATGTGTTCTGCAGTCTCATTGTGAAGCTCTTATGTCATATATTTCCCTTTTTTGTGATCAATATATCAAATTATATATTAGCCTTCTCAAAATCATTTAAAAAGCTTATCATTCATTCCATATATTTATACAAACTAATTTTAATCTCTGCATATTCAAAGAAGTTACCATTAAAATGAAATACGAGATTTAAAAAATATCCATTAAATTGCAAATCACAATATGATTTGTCCCATTTTTGGACAATAATTTCCAAGATCTCATTATAGGCTGGCGCTACTCCAACTAAGTTCTTTGTTATTTGATCATTTGCTTTATTGATAACACCATAGATGAAACCCATTCTTTGACAAATTTTCACAATCAAAAAGTTGCAACACTTTAACCAAACGCTTTTGTAGTATTAAGATAATTTTTTCATCTGTTTCCCTTCATATTTTTGGGCTCATGCTCTATCATTCAATTCTTGGAAAAGAAACATTATCACTAAATGATTTCTCACTCCATAAATATTTTATAAAGCCAAATAAATTGTAACAAATCTTGTGATGATTGGCTTAGTAAGATCTTTATTATTAAACTCTCTTTGAATTCAACGCTAAACAATCATAGTAGATGTAATCGCTAACTCTTTGTTTTAATCAAAGCAATTTTATGTTATGGCAAGTCTCTGGACTTTTCTAGTAATAAATCAAGATATTGTGTCATACAAGGAATCCAATATAAATGCTTTCTTTTCTCCATTAAAATTCTCCTCACCGCCTTATATGCACTTACATTATCTTTATCAATTGAACAACAAGATTTTCTTCAAATTTCTCAGCAACATTATCAAACATTGTGAATAACAATGGCGCATCTCTAATAGAATTGAATGCATTAACGCATTTTAAAAACACATATCCATTAAGATTTTTGACAGGTTGATCAAACTTTGTCCTCTTTTGTCTTAGCAATCATTTAGTTGTATTGAAACTCAAACTATTGCCTATATATCCTTCATTTAATTAACTATCTTATTAGTAGCATTCACTTATTCCTTCAATATTCACACTCGAAGCTAATGAATGATTCTAGGTTTAAATCCTCAATCATAGTTCCTATCGGAGCATGAGCATGTGATATAAAAAAAGAATGAACTTCTCAAAGCCTCCATGATAAATCAAATCTCCTCAAAGTACAAATGCTTAGAAACATCCGAAATTATGTTGAAGACTTTTTCAATACTTAATGCATATTTTCAGGTAACACAAGCGACATTGCCCAAAAATAGGGGGCAACTGATACATCATCAAAATTTATATGATCAAACACAAATCTCGATGCATTTTTAGCAATAAATATTCTAAATTCAAATTCAAGTTCTTCAAGTCCCGATTTTAACAAGTTCATAATTAAACTACTGTATTGACAAGAAGAATGCAAAGACTCTAAAATTGATTGAATCTGAGTCCAATAAAGCCGAGATCAATTCGTTGAAGTACAACCAGAGGCTTCGGATCGTCAATTGAATGGTCGAATGAACTCTAAATTAATATATTTAATTTTTATAGTTGAATCAAACATCACAATAAGAGAGATCCAACGAGCTTAAAATTGCTCAATTGCAAGATCATTAGGCGACCGTCCGACCTAGTTGTTAGGGAATCTATGCACCAAAAGACCAAAATTCCTCTCCCAAAAAAGCTATAAATAGACCCCCCTTCACTTGGTGAGAGGGGAAGAGAAAGAGAAATGAAATTCGAAAGCCTATTCTGGAGAGAAGACCCGACGCCATCATTCATAGATGTCAGTCACTATCCAACACTGACTTCCGTAGCCGCTGACAATCGTAAAATACCGCCTGCCATCACCACCTACAACCACCGACTGTCAGCGACCACTACTTCCAACTGCTATAGCCAAACTACAATTATTTTTCTTAACACATTTTTTAGCTATATAAAGATTAGTGTAGTTTTCATTGTAAAATTGTAACATCTTTCTCCCTATCGTGAGAGAAGGGCATACCACTGTACTTGAGAATATACTAGGGAATATGCTAGACCCTATGATTTTTCCCCTTTCAAGTTGTTTTCATGTAAAAATTCTAGGGTCTCCTAATACTTCATTTTTATCTGTGTGTGTTGGATCTTCCTAAAACACTTCGGACAACACTAAGATATTAAATTATCACTCTAGAGGCGCGAAATTTTTGGCACGCAGCAGTAACTATGCGTTGCTTTTTTCCTTTGCTTAAAAGCAAAAGAATATTCTATAAAACAGCTTAAATATCAGAACATATAGAAGAAATCATGAACAAACTAACTGTAAAAGTACTGAAAATGAAGGTCATTGCAAAACTCTAGGCAAGAATATCAAATATTAAAGAAGGGAATGATTGCAAAAATATAGGCATACCTCTCACTAGTGATTGTTAGCTCATCTTTTCCAGCATGATATCTCTTTCCAACTACCTCTCTTAATCTGCGGAATGCATGCTTCGAAAGCCCCAGTTCCTTTACAGTGACAGAAAGTTTGACTTTTCTATTTTTTGGATGCCATGCATCACCACCTGGAGCAAATACAACACGAGATTCCCACCTTAGGATTGGTCCTTCACCAGGTGGATCATCCAAAACTATCTTCTTCTTGTCATTTGATTCGATAGTTTCACTTTCATCAGGGGGAGGCTCTTCTGCTGCCATGATTTCTTGGCATTCAAGAACCATTCGGTCTTCAAATTCTTTGAACATTCTGTAAGCTTCCACAGGTTCTAATTTTCCTTCTCCAACCATGTCTTCTAACTCCTTATACCTGGCCTCAACTTTTTCCTTTATCTCATCTGAAATCATAGAAGATTAATGGAATCATCCCCATCCACAAATAACAAAATAATTAAATTCATAAAGTCTTCATTCAAAGGATAAGGATAATCTTTGTAAAAAAAGGTCAGATGTGAATAAATGCTCTAGCTGACATGAACTAAAAAAACATCGCCATAAAAAGTTTAATTATATATATATACATACACACACACACACACACACACACACATATATATATATGTAAATGACAATTGAGATTTCATTCATGAGACTTGTAGTTCATAATTCTTTATTCAATTCAAAAGTTTTTGCTAATTCCAAAATCATGCAATTTTTTAGTTCATTCCACAATCATGCAGTTTTTTAGTTAGCATACATCGTCCAAATTCAAACAATCTGATTCCTCATAGTGGCAAGGATGTAATTCCACACAATTGCAAAGGTGTTTACCAAACAGGGTGAAAATTTGGATGGTCTGAGGCAATACCCGTTCGTAAGGCATGAAGACCTGAAAGCACAATTTAGTGATGTAGAGAGGTGGCACCGCAACTATAACTCAGAGAATGAAAAAAAAAGATAATTAAATAATAAGTAGCTAAGTTTTTTTAAACATCAAATCAATTAACAACTATAGCAATTTAATTTCATAAATCGAGTTATCATGGCAGTTACCCAAAAGATCCAGAATACTTCCCCACCCCACCACACAACGACAATCATATTAAAGAGAAAGAAGAAAATAATTAAACCTTCGAATACTTTTTCTATCAAAAAGCTTCACTTTCCATTCACTCATTAATGATTTAATCCCATCAACACAATCACAATCACAATCACACGAAACATAAAAAAGAGAATGTTTTGAGTTTGAAAACCTTCTTTGTTCAAAGCCATTGCTTTGTTTTTCTATTTTATTTATTTTACTACTCTGATTAATTCAACACATCCCCACCCCACCGCCGCCAACCACCAAACCCATCCAACCTATTCTTTATTTCATATTTATTGTAATCTGTATTAATTAATCCATATAAAAATCAGTTTTCATAATTCAATTTAACTCAAATCTAACATAAAGATCTTTAGGCATATATTCTCATTCAAGCAAATATTATAATCATATTTAAAATCTTGCTTTAAATAATTACATAATTGCCTTCGCATGGCCGACATAATTTTAAGATATACCAACTTTAAAAATGACTTTATTTTTCTACCAAGACCCTGTTAAACTTGTCAGATATGCCTAACTTTATAAAAGCTTTAGAGCTACTTTCCCTTATCTTAAATATTTTATGTCACACTTTCTCATTCATTAGTAATTGGCCTAAATAAGTTGTAGCTTGGGCTTTGTTTTCTATCTGCTCTTGTACCTAGGCATGAGTATAAATCTTCTCTTCTCCAGAATTTTCTTCAAACTATAGCCACTACATCTTCTCCACTAACTATACTCACTGCCGTCTTAGATTCTTTAAAGGATACGGTTTTAAAATTCCAACATCTATCGTGGACATATCTTTCTCCACGGATACTAACTTTGTATTCTAATCTTCAGCAAATTTGGTGTTCTTATCATGTGAATAGAATATTACTTGATTTCTTTAACATGCTATTTATTAGGATGTTTCTTTAGAGTTCCTTTGTCTAGACTAATGAATGGTTTTGTGATGCATTCTTTTTGAAGTAATATAATTAACATTCACAAGACCAAGTGATAACAATAAGATAAAACGAAGTAAGGATTTCATCCAAAATATAGCTCAAGCAATGCAGCAAATTCATATTTATTGATTAAAAACAAAACAGTAATCAAAGTCCCACAATAGTGTAATATTCGGAGCTAATGACTATAGCCATAACTTCTAGAAAAGGAACAAAAAAATACATTGTTGCTTGTAACATCTTCTCATGTAATTAGTACTCATTTTATTCTTCCTAATTTGATCTAAACCATCATAGTAGAAATGCATGAATCATATGCCACATGTCAGTTGGTAGATAATTTCTAAGAAAGAAATTTGTTTGAGGTTTTATTATCAGTTCAAGCCTTGAGAAGATACAGATCTCCCACCCCCTTAGCGCTAAGTACGAGCATTAGATTTTTGCCACATATTTAGAATATTTCAATATTTATTTTAATTTTATTAGGAATTATGAATTTATTTTAATTTAAATTATGACGAATTATACCAACATATATTCATAATTACCTTCAAACATGATTTAATGCACTTGAGTACATCCTTCACTTTCAAATCCCTTTCATCGTAGCCCATTCACATTGACCAACTAGCCCATTGCATAATGCTCGCCTGCCTTTTCAAGTTGATTCACGCACAATCACTCATGCGCTTACTTGCCCACATGGTCACTTACATGCATGTCTACTTGCTCACTCACCTGTATGTTTGTCAAAACGGCTTGTTGTTTGCGAACAGCTCTGTTGTTTGCGAACAACGTGTGTTTGGTTAGTTAAGTTGCTCGTGTTCAATCCATTTGCTAAGCAAATGAGCTTAGCACAAATAATTTTTGTGTGACCAATATATAAACGAGTCAAACACGAACAAAGATTTATTTGTTCTTGTTTGGCTCGTTTTGGCTCTAAATAATTAAATTATATATATTATATGTACGTATGTATGTATATCAAGTTTTCAAAAAGTTCTGATTTTTTGCATGAGGAGAAGGACGCCGCTGACCTCAAATGGCTTTCACATTTCGTTCACGATTGCAACTCGGAGTAGCAACCGACGATGGCTTCCATAACGGAGAATTGCAGGCCCTGCTTTTCGACGAAGCAACCTTTTTCAGCTACTTCATGGAGAGTAAAAAAGGAAGAGGAATAATAGATATTATCAAGTTGGCAAAAGAATTAATATGTGATCTTGATACTAAATGTAGAGGGGACAATCTTGTTGTAAAGCTTGACTTGAAAAAAGCCTATGATACCATCAGTTGGGATTTTATACTTGTTCATCAAACCAGGGGCTTTAATTAAACATCTTGCAACTTTGTTAAAGGCTGGCTTGAAGGAAACTATTATCAAGTGCTTGTTAATGGTCAAGCTCATGGCTTCTTTACCTCAAGAAAGGAATTAAACAAGGACATCCTCTTTCTCCCACCATCTTTATTGAATTAAACAAGGGGATCCTCTTTCTCCCACCATCTTATTTTGGTTTTTTATTACTTTTCTAGATTAATCAATTCACTATAGATGTCGCATCCCTCAACTCATTATTAAAGAAAAAAAAAAGGCTAAAATGGGGATCAGCCATTTGGCCTATGCTGATAATGTCATATTATTTGCTAATGCTTCTAACATTCTATTAAAAGTATCTATCAAACTCTCATGTCATTTTAGGAGATATCATGTATGCATTTCAACAAAGACAAATGTCATATGTACTTTGGTAAATCTGTGAGCAATTCTATGAGGGCATGGGCACAAGACTTCACTGGTTTTATCATTGTTGTTCTTCCTTTAAAGTACTTGGGTGTAAACTTGCTCAACGACAGAAGAAAGCAGGTGCAATTTGAGGATGTGGTGGACAAAATTAAAGCCATGATTGGGGATTGAACTAACTCTTATCTATCTTTTGTAGGGAGGATTACATTACCGAAAAGTGTTTTAGCTACTATTCCTTTATATGCTCTACAGGTACTTAGAATCAAATCAAGTACACAACTCATTTTGGAGAGGCTGCTTAAAAAATTTTTGTGGTCTGGTAACCACAAATAGAAAATATGGTCTACTTGGAAAGTACTTTGCAGGCCTTTAATAACTGTGGGGCTAGGCTTCAGGCTATTAAAACATCTTGTTGAGGTTAATTATACTCTTATGTTTATTAAATTTAGAAAATCTGACTCTCTATGGTCTAAGCAAAATAAAGAATCCGTAGGAAGTTCAATCTAAGGTTGGAGACTCTAAAACTTGGAAAGACATGCTTAAAATCAGAAACATTGCTGAGGATTTTATCCATTGGAAAATTGGGGAAGGTAATCTGTCTTTCTGGTATGATAATTGGCACAATGAAGATATAAATCATTTCATACCTCAAGAAAACAATGGTTTAGCAGTGGCTGATTGTTTTCTAGATGCTGGCTAGAATATGGAGTTGCTTATTAATATGTTAGATGAGGGCTGGGCAACCTCTATTTCTAAGATTCCTTTTGATAAAAACGAGAAGGACACCCTTCTCCTGTCTGAAAATCCTAACTGCTCTATCACAAAAACAATATACACAAAGCTGTTTACTTGGTATAACATTGAATGGGGTAATGTGATTTGGAACAAATATTTATCATATGTCTTTCTTCAGTTGGAGAGTCTTACATGGATTAATTCCAATGGATGATAATCTTAAATTAAAGGGCTTGAGATTCCCTTCCCAATGTATTTTTTGCAAATCAGATGAGGAAACTGTTAATCATGTGATCTTCACATGTCCCTTTTCCTTTAAAGTTTGGAAAACTCTGGGGGATCCGGTTGACATCAAAACCCCTTCATCTGGTTGGGTTGACTTGTTTCATTGCATGGAATATTGGCATCATCCTCTTCATAAACTGCATATCTTTAATTTACTCCTACTTATCTGAAAATGGTTTATCTGGTTAGCCAGAAATTCTCACAAACATGAGGAAGTACACATTAAACAGAAAAAAGTAGTATCTAAGATCCTCTCCTATCTTCATAAACTGCTTATCTACCATAAACACAAACCAAGTTTCTTTGCTAGGTGTGACACTTTGCTGGGTATAGTCCCAACTATTACAGGTAGAAATATGGTATCTCTTGTGTGGTGGATGAAACCATCCTTTCCTTGGATCAAAGCTAATACACATGGAAGTTGGAGGAATGGGTGTGTTGGTGCTGGTGGAGTATTCAGATCTTATTCTGGTAAACTTCTATGCCTTTTTTCCTCACCTTTTACGGTTGTCTGTGCTCTATCTGCAGAATTGTATGCAATTTGGAAGGCAATTCATGTGGCTGTAACTTTGAAATGGAAATACTTGCAAATTGAGACATTCATTTGTTCACATTGACATTTTAACAAAAGGGTAATGAACCACCATGGTTTCTTTGTGATTACTTAAGCATGATCAAACAACTAGCTGCCAAAATTGTTACTTCTTGGAACTATAAACTAAGAGAAGCAAACTGCCCAGCCAATTATCTAGCTAGAGCTGATCCTACTTTGAAACGGCTGCTGAATGGAGATAACCTTGATTTACCTTTCTTCAGAATCTTATCTTACATGTGATGGCATTGTTTCTGTTGCTGTCTTTGGTTTGGTTGTTTTTTATTTTTGTTTACAGATTCGGGTACACAAATGGTTTTTTCTTCTTTGGAGATCTTCTACAGAGATATAATGAACATGAGTATACTTATTTTTGGAGTTTTTTGTGTTGGGTATACATGTAACAGTTTTCAGAGAACTTTTTTGGGTTAGTTGTAATCTTGGTTGTTGAACCCTATGAGTGTAGTATGTATTTTTCGGGTTTTGTTAGAGGGATCCACCAACCATAAAATCTTGTATCATTTTCTTTTATGAAATAAAAGTGCTTCCGGGTTTCCCAAAAAATAAAAAATAAAAATAATATATACATACATAT